TGTGTGTGTGTGTGTGTGTGTGTGTGTGTGTGCGCGAGAAGGAAAAATGCTCTTCTGCTGTTTTACTGAGAACTCAGTTCACTTCTGTCTCTACGCACACACCACACGCACACACACTCCTATCTCGCTCTCAGAAGCAGCTCAAGTGAAGCCAACCCGCTGCAGCCACACATCACCACATTAAGCCAAACACAGTGGAGAACATTGCCATTTTCTTATCTGTGGCAGGCAGCGTTCGAACATAATGACACGATGTTTGCAGCTCGTTCAGAAATTGCAATTCCATTTTACACTGCAAAACAAATCTCATGTGATATATGACTGACTTTTATTGTCTTATATAAAACCAGTTAAAAGGTCAGTCAGTGGAGTGACTGATATAAGCACGTGTTTATGCAACTTTACCAAAAATGTACCAATACGTTTGATGATTTTTTATAATAAAAATGAATGTGACCAGTTTAGTTCTACAAGTTGCACATTTTGTCAAACCCAAAGTTATTAAGTTCACTGTCATGTGTGACAAAGAAAAGCCCTAAATCATCACATTTAGAGTTACCACTACTGACCCATCCCAGATGTTTCAGTTATCAGCTTATGTGAAGTCTAATATGCACTGATATGACATTTGTATTTATTACATAACGTAATGTGGAAAGATTTGCTTGGGGGAAGTTATTAATAGTAAAAAAAAAAGGTGGTCGTACCAAATTTACCTGCGAGTAAAACGTATCCACTACAAGTGAATCAACAACCTGTCGACCTATTGTATGAAAGATATCGGCTGATATAATGACTTTATTTTAATTCCCTAATATTGGTATTGATATCAGTCTCAAATACCCAGTATTAGTCGGGCTCTACAATGAAGCCAAAATGATCAAAGAGCTCATCGCACACTTAGATCTTTGCAGTGTTTTCCCTTTATTTTATCCTTTAACTTATCCTCCATCAGATCTTCATCATAAATAACTACAAGAAGAAGGAGCCATCAATTTTTTTGCATAGAAAATGACAAAAAAGAAAACTATTGTGTCATTGATGACGAACTAGGGATTATTTAAGAAATATTGATTCCTGCAAAGAGCTGCCCTGATATACATGTAGTGTAGTGAATAAATAATAATCTAATCATAATGTTTTTGACAGCACAGGTCAAGGTTTTGCTTTCATGTTAACTTTCTTTGTCCTCTGTAATACCATAGTACAAGAACCAGAAGAAACAGACTCAGAATTGACAAATTGATTTATTCCAAATTATGGTGGTTTCAAGGGCTAAATTTAAGACTTTAAAACTTCTCAGTGTATTTTCCTTTGGCCTTTACATGATGTTCTGAAGAGTTTACGATGGTTTCCACTGCTATAGTCATGCCATAATGACATAAACTTTTTGGCCTGGCTTCCGCTGGCTCCGACTGTGCTTTCCTTCATCACTATATCCCGGAAGAGGAGAGGAAACGTCCCTCTCAAGTCCACGAGCGTGCGATTTCTCTGCTGTTTGATTGTTGAGGTGCAGCGACTCAAGTGGCGTCTTTCTCTCCGTTTCACCTGAACCAGTGAAGCAAATGAGAGGAGACGAGAGAGATGTGTTGAGGTGCTGCCACCGTTAATTACAGGCATAACCAAGGCTGTCTCTGCATTTATAATTACTCCTTGTGTCTGTCTTCTCAGGCTCTTTTCCCTGTGAGGTTCACACTGTGGCCCCCACCCCCCCTAATGACACACCAGCACCAAAATAAGCTATAAAAACTGTCAACAGCTTTTTAACACTCCCTAATGTGATTCTTTTTCCCAGCAGAGAGGGGAGTGTTTCAGGTAATGAAAGGTCCAGACCTCTTGACTGCAGCTGTCCCAGCATAAAACATCTAAAACGCTCATTAGCTTTTCTGTCCTCACAGCTTCTTCTGTCTCTACATCTCTCGTGTTATCTCTGCCGTGCTGAATTCTGGTTCACAGCACAAATAATTCCTCAATTACCAAAACATACAAAAAATGATTTGGTGAATGTTAGCTGTCAGTAACCTTTTATCTGACCTTTTCATAGGTCAGACAAAACAATACATTATCTGCATTCAATTAATTCCGAGGACTTGTAAGTGTGCAGGTTGTTTATTTTAAGATCATAGACTGTAAATAAAGATGGATGACGAGTCTCCACTTCTTCCCGTTTAGCTAAAATATCGTCTTGTGCTTTCGACATCATTTGAAATCTTCTCAGTATCGATCGGAGATGGAGTCGCTCTATCTAGGTCCCACCAATGCAAGTGCTTAACCAAAGTCGGTCTCAGCTGTCAATCATGACATCTAATGGTGCACAGTTTGATTGGTCTCCTTCCATCATTCATCTATCTCCAGGCTTTGAGCCTTTAGGGTCCGGCCACACCCCAGAGGAGGACACACATGTCTGCAGGGGTTTAGGAAAACCAGAAATGGTGCCATGCATACATCATCATGCCAAGTGATGGATGCAGAAGAGATAATCCTCAAACAGGGCTGTGCTCTCTGTAGGTGAGAGCTGTATCACAAGCTCCAGGTGTGAGTGCATGGCAAACCTATGCCAGCTGAATATTGCCGAACAGGGTCACGACTGTGCTTCAGTGTAAATGAAAGATTCCACTGCTGCAGTTAAATTCTATAAAGTAAACTGTCAGTGTAGCTGGTAGGGAGCAACATCAACACCAATGTTGTTGGACTAATGCAGCCACTGCAGCACATATTAGATAATACATCAGTGCATCTCGCTCCCTGCATCATTACAGCAATTCCACCCACTTCTTTGCATCTAGGAAACTTTTCACTGTTTATTTTTCGAGTAGCCCAGTTTAAATGTGACTTATATTCCCCTGATGGAGTTGAAGGGGCTGTGTCGCTGTTATTTGAAGGGATATTGTTGTAACGTTGCCGTGCAGCCAGAGGACAAGGCCGCTCTGTCAGTATTACTGTTGCAGTGTGTGGGTATGTTCTTTTCTATGAATGAATGAGTATTCATTTATGTATGAGAAGGCAAGTGGCTGCAGGATCAGTGAGTGTGTGCACACGGCTTTTTGAGCAGAGATCATTATATCCCTGTTAATCCTTTGTGTGTCTTGGATTCTTTTGTTATTCTTATTGCAGATGTTAAATCACCAGGTTTCTTTGCTAAATGGCTATTGCTTGTTTTAAATTGGCCTTTTTTCAGAATAAACAACTGAAATATGCTCATTTTCCTGCAGACAACTCAATGTTTCAATCATTTCAAATCTCACAAGAGTTCACAGTTGAGTTTCAAAACATCAGCACTTCTCTGCATGTCATGTACTTCTGTTATTTTGCCCACTGTGTGTATGCTGACCTTGTGTTTGTGCTCACGTTGCATGGTTTCTTGAAACAGCTGCGGGCGTCCCACAGACACACACTGAGATAATGCGTGTGGTTAATGGTGTCAACATCAGAAACTTGAGTATTGCCTATAATGAGGTAGTCTGACTATCATGCCTGATTACGCTCTAAACTGCAAACACTTCTTCGGTGTTTGAGCCATATAAAAGCAGCTGTAGATGTCTATAAACTGAGTGATACAGTTTTAAGAGGACGTTTTTTTTGGACGATCCCTTTCTGGCACAACAGAGGCAACTCTCTTTTACATTAACTAACAAGTATTTGTCTAAAAAGTTGCTTGATTTGTTGCTAGCTGCTTTAAAATGTGTTGTGAGAGAAGTTTGTGATGTAACGACAAATGTACTAAGTTGGAAAACACTACCTGTAAATGTCCCCCTGATGAGGTAATAGAAACTTATCTCCAATTCTTTTGTAAAAGAACGACAGCCAATAGGGAAACTCCCAAAACTTGGCCGACCGACCTATGGTGCAGCAGATTCAACTCACACACTCAGTCAGGGATGTAGTGCTGATCCAGCCAAGAAATCTAATGAGGTAATAAAATCGTTTGCAGATAACTGGCTCCTGATTACAACATTATCAGAATAACAGTATATACAAGAAGTTTAAAAACAATTTCAAAGGAAAGGAAATGATTTAGTGTCTATGTAAGTGTTTTAACATGCTATGGATTCATCAGAGCTGCCTGCTGCTTGATGACAGTGGAGTATGTGGGATGGAAAGCCAAAACAATGAAGCCAGAAGAGGCTCTAATGCTTCACAGGGCCAAGGGGGAAACTACGGAGCCGGACCAGTTCTTTGTCGGTTCACCAGAAGTGGCCCCGGCTCACACCACACATGTGATCCATTTTTATGACAGCAGAGAAAATATTGAAGTTGGTTCTGTATTTCTGTGTTTGTTATCCCAGCTGGATCTACATTGTTGCGAGTGGAAACTGATGTTAATCTGCTGTGGCGGAGCTAAAGCTAATTTCCAGGAAGACTTGCAAATGCAAATCTTTTTTTTTTGTATTCGTTGTTAATCAAATCAGGTTATTTCTGTCACTGTGTCGTTCTGAGCAGGCATCATGCCGAGCTTGTGTGTGTGTGTGTGTGTTGTTTTGTGCACATTTGCTCACGGTGACTCATATTGTGTGTGTTTGTGTTTAAATCAGTGAAAGCATCGCACCGCGCTGTCCCAGGCTTCCAGAGCAGCATTTCTCAGCTCAGTGACTCATTCATCCAGACTGAAAATGAATCTATCAGTGACTCTTTCCGCTCCATCAACAGTCTATAATGTGTCTGTCTGGTTTCTGACTCGAAGAGATATCTCCGTCTGTACTGCGAGATCAAACCGTTATTTGATTGTCTGATCAACAGAGAATTAATCTGCAAAGTTATTTGATTGCTGCCTGACTTTTTTCTTTGTTTCATATCTCAGGTCACCTCGGGTCTGGAAAAATTGATGAATGGATGGAAATAAAACTAATAGAAATAAAATTTATTAATTGCAGCCATAGTCTGAAAAGTGTTTATTTCCAGCTCCAAATTATTCATATAAACAGTAAAAGGAACAGTGTGTAGGATTTTGTGATATCTAGTGTTGAAGTTGCATGTTGCAGCTGAATACCCCTCATATCACCCTCCCCTTCCAAACATGAACAAGAACCCGTGGTACTCTTCAGATGTCATAAAAACTCAAAAGGTGTTTAGTTTGTCCAGTCTGGACTAATGTTAAAAACATGGCGGCCTCCGTAGAGAGGGTCCCCTCGATGTAAATATAAAGTATTTGAATATAAAGGGTCTTTTCTGGGGTAAAGAAAACGACAATTCATACAATTTAGATGAAACGAACTTGCGAATTATTCTACATTAAATTTCTGCCAATAGTTCCCTTTCACCTTAATCTTACACACTGGACCTTAAAGTCTAGCAGAAATGTCATTGATATTAAAGTTCAGCTGATAGAAATGCATTCATAAGCGTTAACACCCTGATATTCGAAGCTTAATAATGTCAAGCACTATTTCACTGCAACTGTTTTATGTTCTTTTCCTCTGTTTTAGCCTTTTTCAGGTGACCAGATGGACGACTTCAGCAGCGAATTATTCAACAGTTTCTTCGACGACCATCTATTAGAGCGCCCCCTGCTGGCAGACAGACCCTCACCTTTACACATGGACATCGACAGCAGCCCAGGTCAGCTCCTTCTTTTATTATAAAGCGATATCATTACACTGTATTAGAATTGTACAAATAAATATGTCAATCACAGATGTTGTTTCTTCCTATAACTTTTCTTCGGCGTTCCTGCTTATTTCCAATGAAACCAAATCACAGTAGGTAGAAGTAACGCTGGTTGGTGGAAAACTTTCCAAAGCCCAACCACTGTCTTGAAGTTGTTTACTTTGAAATTCTTTTAGTTCTGAGGTACTCTCAGATTTTTCTTCTCCTCCACTCAGTCTCATGTAGATGACCTTGAATAACCTCCAACAGTGCAGCAGTCAGTTGCTCCACTCCTCAGCCAAAAGACCCCTGTGTTATTATATGGTTGGATTCGAGAATCTTGACACCACAACCACTGAAATCACTGAAAACGGTCTCTGCTTCTTCCCAGAGATTCAAATTCAGAGTCTCTGACTTCCAAAACTCCTGCCTGTTAACCAGAGCGAAACACACTGGACTTGCATCGCTTGCCAAGCAGGTGCTGCGTCAGATTCATAAATGTTATATAAAGTAAATACGCATAGAAAGAGCTTAAACTAATGTCTTTTACGTGTTACGATCACTGCATTAAATGAAGTCTTGCAGTTATCATTTCATATGAACTATACTGAACGATCCAGTACACATTTGTCTACTTCTTGTAGAAGAAATATAAAATTCAAATAAAAAATCCTTAATCTAATATATTCCTATTCGTGAAATCCGACTGACAAACTCACTGAAACGTTAACGCTTCTCTTCCTTCGTATCTTTAAGTCTTCTCCACCGGTTTTATCCGTCTCCAAGCATCCACATATCTGGTGGCTTTTTTCTGTAATGGTTCTGTTATATCTGAGTAAAGTAAAACTGTCCTCTATATATGAATGAAAGAAGCCATTATCTTGACTGGTAGGTGAATATTGTTTATATTCCGTGTCTGAAAAATGCTTTTGAATGCAACAGATATTCAAGCGGAGCACAGCTACTCCTTGAGTGAAGACTCCGCCCCCCAGAGCCCAGCCCTGTCAATCAAAATGGACCAAGAGTCTGGTAGGTCACTTGATATTTTTAGGTTTTCTTCTTATATTTTGCTTCCTGGGAAAATCCACAGCCAATCAGAACTGCTGCAGATCATTAGTCTGGTTCTTTGCCATGTCGCCTGTCAGCTGGTAATCTGGTTTTGTCTGTCCGGACCCTGTCTCTGATTGGCTGAATCCACTGTCTGTCATATAATCTGTGTTATGATTGGCTCAATCTGTTGTCTGTGATATGGTCGTGCCTGCAGGAGCGGTGCAATATAAAAAGACAGTATGTCTCAAGCCCTGCTGCCTCGTCTTTCAGCCTCTCTCATTCTCAGTGACTCATCTTCCCCATTATCCCCCACTGTCTTCCTCTGTCTCTACCTGTCTCTCTCACTCTGTCTTTCGGTCTGCATGCATGCATGTCTTTTCTCCATTTGTCCCGGGGATCCTGCTGCTCACAGCATGATCCCAGCCTGAGCAGTTTTCCTCCAGCTAAGCCCTGCCCACCTAACACACACACACACACACACACCACACACACAGACTCACACAACGCTATGACAAGCATATGGTTTTGAGTCTGCAGCTTTAGCCAGAGCCAGCGGAAACTCTCTCTCTCTCTCTTTCTCTCTCTTTCTGTCAGGTTATCTCTCTCACTCTCTCTCCCTGTCTGTATCTGCCTCTCCTGTTTTCTCTCTTTACCCCCTTCACTGTCTCCTTTTAATCCAATTAAATCAGCTTTAATAGAATGAATGTCAGATTGACTGCATTGCCAAATCAGCACATGGAGCAAAAAGAGTGTCGCTGTCGCTTCAGGAGAGAATGAAATTCATGTTCCACTGCTTTTAAGCTATTTAAAGATATAATATGGAACAATTCTTCATGATCTATGTTGCATATTTGTTGATTGTGAACTTGCATCATCTAAAATGTTTCCAACAATGTTCCGCGGAAAAAACCTACTGTTGCCAGTCAGCCGGCCGTCTGTAATTTTAACTTCCACTGTTTGTATTGGTCACTTGTAATTAATCAAGATTGCTCATTGCCGTTTGCTGCGTAACGTGAGTAACACTTTTTTACATCACTTCTCTCTTGAATGGGATTTGTGCCTGAGTCCTGTCAGGTAGATTTTGGTTATGGCGGTGAGGACAGCAACTCCCATGATCCCATGCTGCTTCACAACCTCATCAAATAGGTCTTTTAGTTATTGTTTTGACTGAGAGACCCCAACTGGCCGAAGTTACATATTGTGCGTTTTTTTTACTGTCTTGTTTCAATGTGTCATTATGTAACTGTCATCGGAAGCTGACATATGGAAGACATACACAGACATAAACACATTTGCCTTTCTATAGTTGGGCCTGGGACGCACTTCATTCATCCCCTCATGATTAAATGCGAAACGTAACATAAATCTTATTCTAAACTGCAATCAGTCCTCACATCTGCAGGAATACGTCTGTACTCACACGCATCAATGCACAGAAAAGCATATCATCTGTATTTGAATCGATTCCAGGCTATTTGATATTGAACTTTTTCCAGATTTGATTTCACAACCTGCGTCTGCTCCACAAAACTGGGGCATGAACTTTGTCTTGTGCTTTCCACCAGTTTATATCTTTTATTTTAATGCACATCAGCTGCACAAATGGACCAGTATAGTGTATATGAACTAACATGTCGTTTTACTAGAAGACCATTTTACTTTCCAGATACAAGTCTGCCATGATTGACTTTTCTGATAACAGATTTATACATTAAAGTATGATAATAGCATTTTTCATTTGTTTTACTGGTTTTGTTGCTTTATGTAGACGCCTCTATTGGGATTATTATTATATGTCCCTGGCACTTAATTTGGAAAATGAAACTCTTTTCCACAGGTTTTAAACAGAACTGAACATTTATCATAAAATTTAACTTATTCTTTAATATTATTAATTTGGATTTATTTTGGATAGGAACTTCTTTCAGTTGTATTGAGCTGAAAAAAATCCAAATGAAACTGTGAAGAACTGGTTGATCGTCTGTGTGTGGGAGCCTTGTATAATCTCTGCGTGCTGACTGAAGGATTAACATTTTTCTGTGTCGTTTTTGTGGCTTGAGGATTGTTCACTTATGACTTCAGGGCGATCTTCTACTTGATGCTCCACCTGGTAAACGCTGTGCTGCACTATGTTTTGCGGATTGCCTGATCTGACTGCACGTCAAAATGCTCGCTGCATAGTCTTGATTTCCAGATTTTCTTTTCTCATATAGTTATATTATAACATTTTTTTGCCACAGCTGGACTGTTCGCTGCCATTTTGGCATCTAAAGTATTTTGACTGAGGCTGCTGCCGCTGAAAAGTTGATCCAGTCTCAGAAAGCAGCAGGTTCTGGCAGGATTTGCACATAAATGCTGGTGTCTTTCATTGGTATTCATTTCTAATCTCTAAAACTCTGATGGATCCTGGTGCACACTACACCCTGTGTCTTTTTGCAGAACTTCCCAGCATGCAGTGAGAGGAGGGTAGCAGAAACTGCGGATGTTAGAGGTTTTTGACCTTTCAGAAACTCAGTCTGCTCTGAATGAAGGATTGTTTAGTGGAATTAGAAAGTATGTTGATCAGGAAACTGGATGTTTAGATCTCATATTGATCACAGATTAAATTGATTTGGCATATTTAATAATTAAGAATTTTACATGAAGCTTTACATGAACATATAATTTAGCAATAAATCTATTTCCTGTGTGTTTGTTTTGCAGCTGTGGAGCTGTTGCCTTTCCAGATCACGTTAACACGTAGAGCACAAATCCCAACTTCAGTATATTTCATTATTCAGAGATGATACACAAAAACTACCAGGAATACTACCATGTTCACCCCGTTTTCTAATCACATCAAATAAGTCAATAAACATGGAGTGAAAGAAATCACTTCCAACTGTCAAACAGCATAACAAGCCAATAAATGTCACTTCAGCATCGTATGGAGTTTCATCCAGAGGCATTTTAAATATGTTGGTCACTCGCACACATTCACATATTACTGAGCAAGTTGTAACTTTCTTTTTCGCTCTCAGCCTCGAACTTGTTCTCAATCAGTGAAAGGGAAGCTGTTTGTTTTACTGCAGCTCCTGTGGTGCTGCTTCATGTTAAGTTTTAATACTGCTGCTGTCCCACTGAGATCAAACACAGTCACCGCCTCCCTTCAGTTTGCTCTTTGAGACAATTCCTTTACAACATGTTACCCACACGCAAGCTTTTGCTTTTAGTTGTATTTTCTGATGATACAGCATCTGAAGAGAACCCTGCAAATGAAAGAAATATGCATCTCTTCACTTACTGCCCCTTCATTGTTCAAAGATGTCCTCGGAAATAATGATTATTTTTGATCACATTGGAACAACCAGCCTCTCAGCATTATCTCTATTCATTTTTATGAATAGATTATTGAATTCACAGTAATGCCTTGCATATGCACATCCGTGCATGTGCAATATAAAAGAGTTCTGGATGGAAATATGAGAGAGACTTTTTCTTCTTCAGTTGCAAAGCTAACATGCAAATCGAAGTAAACTTCTTCTTAACACTTCTGCCAGCTACAGTCCATATGATGAGCATGTAATTATGTGTCACTGACTACACCTCCTAGTATTAAATACATGTTATATTATGTTGCAATGTGAAGGAGAAAGAGCACAAGACAAAATAAATATTCATGAAAAACTGTAGAGAATAACTGCACAGGATGAGTCTATGCATCAGCTACAACAGCTTCTGGTATTCATTAAGGAAGTAGTTGCAGAAAGCTTCCAATCAAGTTCCAGCTTAAAGAAGGAAGGAGGTTTAACAAGGCTCAGGGTAGCAGCAGGGCCCGCCTCATTAAGACAGACTTCTGAGGGTCTTAGTTACAGAGGGGATGTACGGAATAAGTAAACAGTGGATCCTCCCAAAAATGAATTCAGTTTTTGCAAAACCTCTTTGAATCTACCATTCATGATGCTTTGAATCTGTAAGGGTGAAGTCAGAGTTAGAAAAGGACCAGAGCTGAAACACACAGTATAAATATTAATGAAAGAAATCAGTGAGCATGTCAGTACTGAACTTTATGTTTGCCAATATGAAAACTTGAATTTTACAGAATAAACCAAGTAGAAAAGAAGTGCATTTATGTTTATTATCTTTATTTCATCTGTAACTTGGATGATGTCTCACAGTGGAAATATTTAATCCTACCAATTTCGGTACCAGCATCGAACCCCAAAAATCCCTATCGGTCAGGCTCTTGGCAACGTGCTCTGTGATAAGGAAATATAAAATACCAATATACCTTGTTAAACCTTTGACCCTTTCTCATAGAGCAAACATCGGTTCCCTACATGTCCTGACAGAGCTTTTTCACAGCAGACATTTTGACATATTATAGCTGCAGGAAAGCAGATGATGGCTCAGTGTCCCAGCAAGTTGGATGGTGAGTCACCGTGCACAACAAGCTCAGCGAGGTGGAAATGGAAAAATGGAATGCAGTTGTTTGTAATGTCATCGATCTTCCTGCTCTGACAACATGCCAAAATGTCCCCTGTGAAAATGTTTGTCCGATGGGCTCAATATACAAATCGCCATTGAAAGTTACTGACCCTTTTTGAACGCTACAAATTCATGTTTGTGCTCATTGAATGAACGAAAAACCAGAATGTGGAATCAATATGGCTGACCGATAAATTACTCCAGCTTGAGACCTCTTGTTATTAGCCACATTTTTGGACAATGCTGACGTCAGAGTTTATTTCTGATATTAATTACAGTGCAAATGTTGGCTCAGTGTTTGACAAGAAAGAAAGACAGATTGATTTGTTTTTAGGATAGATTCTCGCTGTACTCATCTCTGCTGTGGTGACGGACAGGATAACAAGACGAGCTTCCAGCTCTGTGACAGGCCCACACCTCCGTCCTCTACACACACACACACACTCATATGCTCACACAGCTTGTAAAGTTCAGAGCATTTTACCAGCAGAATGTTGCTAGGAAACCAGGGGGTGATTAAAATCATGTTCACACACACAGACACACACAGAAGCCCCTGTCTCCCTAAACTGCTCTCTTTCCATACACCACAGGAGCCTCTTTGGTGTGAGTGTGTGTGTGTGTGTGTGTGTGTGTGAGTGTGTGTATTGTGACAAATATCCTAGTGTTCATATTTTATATTATGATTATTAACCACACACCTGCAGTTCGGTTTTAGTCGGGAATTACTTCTAAAGAAAGTTATGTCATAGTTTCACTTGAGTATAAATCTCAAACTTAAAATAAAACCCTCACATAAAAACTGTAGTGGAGACGTTAATAGGACTCTGATGTTAGTTGGACTTTTGTCTAATGAGGGTCCATTGAAACGACGCCAAATCAGTTCACGTTTTCAAAGGGCTTTAATTGAAAGCATACATACTTAACAGGCCTACTGGTGGGTACATCCTCCATCATGCTGTGCAGACGAGCACAGTGCAAATGAGCAGGATGCATTGTGATCAGAATATGTCATTTTACTCTGTATTTCACTTCCTGAAAGGTGAGGGGACGGTCAAGATTAAGATAAAGATGCAGTATAGGCTAAACTCTGGAGCCAACATTTCCCATAATGCAACTCAATGGTATCCTTCTTTAGAGTAGACTGTTGTATTGCTGCCAAAGCCCTGATATCACTCTGACATCATTATGGATGTAGACACCAGGCTCTGTGTAAAATAGTTGTTCTTTAAATAGTTGTTCTTTAAATCCACCTAATGAGAAACCTGGTGAAAAGATCAGATTTGAGCTGTGAGAGAAACGGCCACCTAGTCGGTTAACGTGGATTATATAATGCTGCGGATTGCTGCATCTGGATTCCGTCTCTCCAAGAGGAATTAAAATAGCTGGACAGTGTGCCGAGTAAAATCTGGAAGCAACCAAATCTGGAGCGTGATCAGAAAAACAGCTGTTTGGTTTTCCTCTGCGCTGCAGCTAACTCGATAATCCTATTTTGTGAGGCATCCTTGGGGGAGACGTGACCCTCTCTTCCCAGCGACGAGGTTTTCTCCAGGAACCTCGAGGTCATATCCTGCGATGTTGAGGCTCCTGGAGAAGTCCTGTGGTGGTTTTCACATGGGCTTACCAAACTGTGGAGGAGTCCACTGCCCTCAACCCACTGGAGGAGGTTTTGGAAAAGGACAGTCACGTCTATATATACTATAAGCTCTTAAATACCACTATGTTGTTTATTTGACCCAATTATATATAGTTTTCCTTGACATGTGTGCAGGGGGGGCAGACCTTGATGGTATGCATATAAAGATAGATGACGCGTCTCCACTTCCTCCCACTATCCAGAAATTAAGACACAATATTCCGGATACCTAATAAATAGGTTTTAGGTTATTGTGAAAATAAATGTCCTGCAGATTAGCCTCAGATCAGTTTCGAATTCTGTTTGTGTGTCTATAAACAGATTTTTATATCAGTTTTCTGCTCAAACCCATGTTTATGTGCTGAAGAATTGTGATGATGCTCCACAATGAGGTTCATTTCAGGAGCTGCAGGCAGGACTGGAGGCTCCTCGTCATCACTAGGACATAAACCAGGAGTAACCAGCTTTTCTGCAGCCCTACACTTGCCTCCCTAAAAATACTTTCTCCAAGTCACAGGAGACTAAACCGTGTGATGCTTCTAGAAACATATCCTCGCTGTGTTTTGGTGAACCTCCTCTGAAATTGCGCCCTGCCCTCATTGCACAGTCGCTAAATTATGCATATTTTCTACATTGTTTAAAGGCTGCTATGGGTTACTTCTCTCAGGAAGGATCCTTGAGATGAGTTGCTGGGTCAGCCCATCTTTTTATTTCAGGGTAGATGCACACTCGCTGGAGACAAATTATGCACCACAGTTGCCAGAGCGACGTCGTCCAGCAGTCTGTAATAACCAGCCTTGTCAGGAAGTGCTCAAATGATTTGGGGAAGCTCCTTTGAAAGCGTGATTTATAAGCTCCCTGCTACTTCCCATCGGACGACCTACAGCGAAGCCTCCCGAAGTGAAATGCAGTTGTTTTCTGAAGTTCATTCTGCTTTTTGAATAAAAAAAACCCTGAGCTTTCTGTTCGGAAATTAAGTACTTGAGTTGTACAGTTCAAATATGTTTTTTCAGTTTTTACATACAGAGCTCCAAGAGCCAGAAGGTTTTCACAGCCATTGTGGCAGATGACTTAATATTATTCCAGTGTTTTACTAACAAGAACTTTGGCCAAACTTGAATACATTTAGTACATGTGTATATAAATGTACATTGACAGTATGATGTCCTGTCTTTTCCTTAGAGTTTGAATGGAGCTTCAGCCAGGACCTCTCCGCCATCTTGGTGAAACAGGAGGAACCTGATGTGGGTCAAAGGTTAGATCCTCCGCCTCTGGAAGGCCCGCCTCTCATATTAAGCCCTGCACCCCCGCACAGAGGATCGTCCTGGAAACACACGGTGAGTAAATCCACACCACAACGATGAAACGCTGCACGTTCACGGTTGCGGAGTTCATCGGCTTCACTGTGCTTTTTTTGTGAATGTGTTGTGTTTGCAGGAGCGCAGTCAAGACAACATGAAGCCAGTGGCTATAAAAGATGAACCCAGAGAGGTCGGACAGTGTCTCAGTCTGCCCAGTGGTACATGCAGCACAGACACATGCACATACACACACATTTTAGATGGGAATTTACCAAAAATGCATCCAATGCACTTAAGAAAAAGTTCAAATGTTTGAAAGTCTAAAGTAATTCAGAGTAAAGTGTCTGAGTTCCCACACATCCACTGATAACATCCTCAGTTCAAAGTACGAGCACTCATTCAAGTTTCTCCGCGACTGTAGATGATGCTCTGCAGCTCCCGCCCACCCCTCCCAGCAGTAACCACGGAGACAGCGACGGCTCCCTCCCTCCGTCCTCCCCGCTCCTCCCTCTGCCCCCGTCTTCCCCTCAACCGCAACAGAGGCCAGGAGGTCGGGCCTCTTCTTCCTCCTCCTCCTCTTCCTCAGCCATCTCCTCCTCACCTCTCCTCACTGCGCCACATGTGAGTAGAAGAGCATAAGAAGTCACTTAGGGGCTATATGAAAGTTATTATTGGGTGTTTAAGCCCAGCAGCAAGTTGATATATTTGTATAGATTTTGTATACAGACTTTTGGGAACCTAAACACATTGTGTCCTACTATGAATGTAGAGAATTAGCCTGTAGGGACTGAATTTACACTATAACTTCAGTAAAGTTGGGGTTTTGATGTGTAAACCAGCAGTAATCCTGGGGTTGAATCAGTTATTTCACTTGCTGACAAAATGTGGTCAATCCAGCGATATTTTAATATTGTTTTTGATCAGATTCAGCATCTTTTCCCTTCGAAAACAAACGAATCCCATTTGTACTAAAGCAGCAGTACAGTTCCTCGTGACCAAATGTTCAATGTCAGCAAAAAAAGAAAATAACATCAATGTGGTTTTGATGCATCCCAACAAACATAAAATAACAGCCAAAGTTTGAAAGGATTTTTCTTTCATGATGCAACAGAATCCTGTTTTTTACTGAACAATAGCAGCACCCACATGTGAAGGAACAAGATCGATTTATAATTAAAGTTTGGCTCTGTGATAACCTCAAGGATGAAACATTGAAGCTTCAAGTTTCAGTCATTTTTATGTCTCCGTACCAGCGACAGCCAGTGGCCGGAGCTATTATGTTTTCAAGTCATCTGAACCATTCTTGTGAACGCAATATCTTAAGAACGCTTTGTGGGAAATTCTTCGTTTTTGGTTCAAACTGTTTAAGTCATGGTGACTTCATATTATTGTGGAAGCAGAATGTCAGGAGTCAGGATCTTCATGTCGATCTTCATGTTGTGCAGAAGCTGCAGGGCTCAGGACCCCTCATTCTGACAGAAGAAGAGAAGAGGACCCTGGTGGCTGAGGGTTACCCAGTACCAAACAAACTCCCCCTCACCAAGAGTGAAGAGAAGGCACTGAAGAGAGTCAGAAGGAAGATTAAAAATAAGGTAAAAGCTGTGTCTCTTATTCTGTCAATCAGAGTCATTAAACTTCTGATTGGCCAAAAACTACTAGGATGGATGTGGTGGTGTCAAAAACCTCCTGTAAATTACTTTTAAATACAAAGATATGAATATTTGTCTTTTTTTCTTCCCAGATCTCAGCTCAGGAGAGTCGGAGGAAGAAGAAAGAGTATGTGGAATGTCTGGAGAAAAAGTAAGGCTTGGAAAAAGTCTTAACTCTTGTTTTTCCATTCCTCCACCAGGTTTACCTTCGTATCCGCTTGTCATTTTGCAACTTGCAATCATTTTTTTCTCATTATAGTCTCCTCGAATGGTTTTAAAGTAACAAACTGCATTATATCAACAACCATTAATGAAACCAGAAATTCAGAATACTCTGGAAAGTGACATTTTCTGGAGTTCATATCTGAAAATGGCAAAGCAGGGTTTTTTTGCAGAGTTTAGATTCCATCACTCATCCCGGCTCTTCGTCTTCTGATTCATTAAAGAACATTAAAAGTGAACAGAAACTCTTTTCTCTTCCTTCCCGTTCTTTTCCTTTTTGTTATTCCTTGCTGTGGCACGATTCCAATAACCTGCTGAACACATGGGTCAAATTCAAACAGTCTCTGGCAGGGGGAGTGAAAGAGAGATGAAAATGTGGACCTGTATTTATGTTGCTTTCATAGGTGCAAGTAAATAGGTGCGGTCATTCGATATGTTACGCACAGAGAGGCTCCTGCAGATGGTAACAAAATGTCCTTGTAATCCCTTTAGACTTAAAAGAAAGATATGTCCTCACCTTTAACTGAATCAAGAGAACGGAGAGATAAGAGGAGGGGAAAAGAAGAAATCCTCCTCTTTGTGTTCATGTTTTCTTTCTTTTTTCGACATGAGGACAGAATTACTGGATGACCCTTCATAGAGAAAACTGCGGGACGACTCGCGGGGAAAGAATGTGTGTGAATGAGCCACACACAAACCAAAAGAGGAGATCAGGAGGATTAGAAAGAGAGCAATGATTAGTCAGGTGTTGAATTGATAAGCGAGATCAGTGGGATTAGCAGAGATGACAGACTGAGAAAGAAAGTCTTAAACAGAGAATCTCATCTCATGCTTTTTTTCTAAATATGAATCTCAAAAATCAGGTCAACTTCTTCTTTGACATAAACAGATTTGTTTTATCCACCCAAGGAACTTAAAATGCATGCAATCTTCTAAAGCCTGTAAAGATTGAGCCCTGCTCTCTCTGATATGAATATTATCATTGTCCTATGTCAGTTAGGACACAATGATACAGAACGGAAGACATGTTTCTTCTAATGTCTATATAATCAAATTTCATGTGTTTCAGAATTATTGGGTGGATTGCAAGTGGTTTTTAATGTGTCCTCATCTCATCTGCATCCAAAAAATAATTGAGGTGAAGGAATGGAACGTACACTCACACAAAAACATATCAAACTTTGGCGTGTTGGAGTATGATATATCCAAAATGGCACTAAACCCATAATAAAGCTGGAGTTAAAGGGGCTCTATAGGCAATGAGGACCTGGGGGGCCTCAGATGTTCTGGGTGCCCCCCTCTCTGCTTAGGGCCCCTAATGTAACGGCCATCATTGGTTTTGAAGTACATAAAGTAAAGTACTGGACCTATATGTGGTGCCACTGTTACAGGAAATATACGGATCATCAATAGAATTCATCGTTGTTGTCATAGTTGTTGAGTTATGTCAGTCTGGACCTCTTCATGCCTCTATCGTGTCTAAAAACTGAATTTTGGTTAATACCTCTTGATTCTCTTTGGCGTGAAATGAGAGTGACAACTGGACTCAATGTGGTCGTGTGATAACATCTGAGATCCGAGTATCAGAATCAAGATGTTAACGAAAACCTGTGCCTCTCTCTCTGTGTGTGTGTGTGTGTGTGTGTGTGT